TTGCGCCGATTTTCTTCTTGTAGAACAGCAGCTGCAACGTCATTGAAGACTAGACTGGTGACATTACTGTTTGTCAAGTTAATGATAAGTTGATCATACGAATCCGGTAGACTTTGAAGTAGAAGTTCAGCACGTTCTTGTTCTCCTATTTTACAGCTTAAGGATGTAAGCTGAGAAAATAAAGTGTTCAGTGTATTTAAGTACTCCGTCACTGAAGTAGATTCTGGCATACGGAGAGTGTACAATTTTCTCTAAGGAAAATTTTATTGTGCAGCGATGTGGCCTCGTACAATTTGGTAAGATGATCTCATATCTCCTTAGCTATCTTTTTCTCCTCGATGCTTGACAATACTTCATTTGCTAATGCTAGATGAAAGTTTGCCATAACATTCCCGTCCATTTCGATCCATTTGTTGTCATCTGTGAAATCTACCGGCGTTTCACTGATAACTGCTAGACACCCGTCTTTCCTCATAATGGCATTCATCTTCAATTTTCATAATGAGAAATTTCTCCCATTGAATTTTTCAATATCAAATTTCGTTGTCATAGCTTCTATTACGGATAACTCCCACTATTTCACTATAGTGAATAGTTCTCTGGAACCTTCAAAGAATGGGTAATACATTCTTACTTTCTTATATTGGAGGATCCACCTTTTGGTGGCAACCACAAAGATAATAAGCAGATATTACACACTCTAATCTGGCTCTGATACCAATTGTTGCGGAAGACAGCTATCGGATAGAGCAAAATCGCAAATGATAATTTGAGAAAATAAAAATAAAGATAAAGAAAACACAAAATTTACGTGGAAAACCCCTAAATAATATAGGGTAAAAACCACAGGCAACGGTAGAAGAATTTCACTATATGAAAATAGGAATTACAACCTCTCTCGATCTACCAAGGAAAAAAAATAATGATAATTCTCTCTTGATAAAAATGAGAAAACAACTCTCAATAAACTCTCTAAATTCTCTATAGTATTAGAAGAAAGCTAGAATGTTTTGGGATGATTTTGAAGCTAAATGAGCTAGGGTATTTATAGTTGAAGTTTAAGGACCAATTTGTAAATACCCTAAACTTTAGTGACTAAAATTTGTAATATCCCCTTTTTAAATATCAACAAAAAACCAACAAATTTTCGGTGCATTAAATTTGTGCACTTTCGGTGTATTTATGCACCACCCATATTTGACTTTTCAACATAAATAACATAATAATAGAGAAGGGGTAGTCGATCTAGGCAACTTGGGAAGCTAAGCAAACGCCTATCTACTTAATCAAGATCTTTAACTGATTGAAGACTGACAAACTGTTTATATAAAAACTATATATATATATATATATATAAGCATGATTCAATTGTACCAAGTGTAAAACTAAGACTTAGTTTTATATATTTTTTAAATTGCTGGACGAGAGAAATCAAAAGCTGAGATTAACGATAAAATAAAAAATGAAAAGATATTCATAAAAAAATAAAGAATTATTTTCAGCCTTTAATTTATATTATTTAATGTTCCTAAAAATGTGTAAAACTAATAGTTTTACACTGAATTTAAGTGGATATTAACCTATATATATATACACACACACATACACGAGATAAGATACACTTACATTATGTAAAACTAATAAGTTTTACACTATTTTACAACCATTATTTAAATAAATAAATGATTCAGATTTAATTAAAATTTAGGCTTAATATAAAAATAAGTTGTCAAACTACATTGTTTTTTCTAAAGTAGTGTTTAAACTTTTTTTAGGTCAATCCAGGTACTTAACATTACAAATATTACCATTTTATGTGTCTTGTCCGTAACGGTCATTAAAAAGTTTCGTTAAGTGACACGTGTCACATTACAATAATTTTAAAAATTTTATTTGAAATAAAAAAATTATTTAAAAAAAACTCCAAAATTTTTGAAAAACTTTAAAAAACCAAATCTTTAAAAACTCTAATTTTAATACCTAAACCTACATTAATTGATGGTCTTTATCATCGTCAAACCTCCATTTAATAACCAATAACCCCATGTAAATCTATTGGGACATGATCAATCGACAACTAATTGATGCAAACCCCAACGCAGCAAATCGCAATCTCACGCGATCTTAATTGACAATTGACGACAAGGATAATGACACCTGACTAGAGAGATTACAAGGACGGTATCGATGGCGGTGGTCGTGGTCGACAAGGACGACGTCAGTGGGTTAGAAATTTATGATTTTTAAAGATTTTGAATTTTTTTTAACTTAAGAGAAATTATAATTTTTTAAAATATAATTTTTTTTAAAATTTTTAAAATTATCAAAATATATGAACCATGTCACTTAACGGATTTTTAAAGACCGTTATGGTCGGACACCTAAAATGATAACTTTTATAAACTAAAGCATCTAAATTGATCGAAAAAAATTAAACACCATTTTTAAAAAATAGATATATTTTGACCACTCATTTTTATACTAATCCTAAAATTTATAATTCATAATAGTTTTTAACCGGTAAAGTAACATCTCTCTCATCTTTTACCGTGAAGCCCATCTTTATCGTTGCTCTCTCTTTCAAACCAAAAAAAAAAATCTTTATGTTCTTCTTGTTTTTTTTTAAGTTACCTATTGTCTCTGCCTATCGACAAGTATGTAATTGTTTAACATTTTTGTTCTCCTTTTTACTGTCATATTATGTAACATAGAGTGAAAAAATAAATTTTATTATCAATTTTTATCACAAATATTTTCTTCTAATTTTTAGCATAAAAGAAGTTACAGATTTAAATAACTATAAATTTTAGCAATTATGACTAAAAAATTGTCACAATTAATAATAACATTCAAGTTTATTGTGATAAATTTTGTTTTTAATTATATATTTTAATCAAATTTTAACTACCAAAATTAGTTAAAGATGTCATTTTCTTAATTTAAAAATTTATTAGTTTATTTTTCAATTTAAAAATTTAATTAAATATAAAAGAAATTTAAAACTCAATTATTCTTTTAAGTTCAAAATCTTCAAATATCTTTAAGTCTAAAATTATTTATTTATATTTATATTTAAAAAGCACCTCAAGAAATATAGAAAATATTATATATTATAAAATAATTACTTAATGCAAAAATAAGTGTTTAAACTATATCTTTTATTAAGGTACTTAAAGTATTTTTCGTTCAAAGTAGGTTTCTAATATTTTTAATATTATTTTTTTAAATATCTCAACCGTAACGACCGTTAAAAGATAATGTTATCTGATACATGCTACATTTTTATTTTTTTATTTTAAAAGAAATACTGAAAAATATTATTTAAAAAACTCATTTTTTAAATTACAAAAAAAACTTTAAAACTCTGAAATTTTTAATTTAAAATCTCATTTTCAGCCGTCATCGGTCATTGACTTTATAATTGAATGACCGTTTATTAGTAACCATTCACCCATTTACGATCATTTTACTTATCGTTATCCCAAACTCTTAAATACGTAATTTTAAATTTAAAATTCACGTGAACACGAGAATTTCTCAGCAATCTGATGGGGGTAGAGACACCATGGGGATTCAATGGTGGAATACTATAGGAGGAATTTATGGAGGATTGAACGCGAGAAGACGAGGCTGTGAATTCATTTTTTCTTTTTTTGGGTTGGGGGTTTGGAGACATGCGATTGGGTGGGGTGAATAGCACCCATCAAAAAAATAATTTATTAAAAATAAAAATATTAAAATATATATAAATACATACAAATTAAATAATGATTTTTTTAAGGACCATTACATTGTACGCACCTAAAAGAATAACGTCAAAACGTTAAATATTTACTTTGAGTAAAAAATTCTTTAAACACTTAAAATTAAATTAAGATATAATTTAAATACTTATTTTTTTATTAAACCTAAAATAATTACATGATTTTAATAATCTGTTTTTAGATTATACTCAAAGTTGAGAAAGATAAAATGCTTACTACAAATCTCAGTTGAACGTTTCAGCCTAATGACTCGCGCATTCAAACGGAGTTGTTGAAGATCATAGCCAAAGTATTCGCAGTGAAACAATGAAACAAAATATTACATAAATAAATATCTCTATACAATATTCAAATTAAACACATTCCTCAAAAGTTTTTAAATCTCATTCCGACTCAATGGATTCTTGATTACTTAAATTCAACAATTGTTAAAATATTTAGTATAATAATGTTAATTGAATAAAAAACTAACTAGTTATAAATAATTATTATAATGAAGTTATTTCTAGGGTGTTCATAATTTAGTTAAAATCGAATTATCCGACTGGATAATTTTTTTTATTAATCGATCGATTAATTTTGGGTTCGGTCGGTTAACGTTTAATATTTTTGCAAACTTCGATTATTAGTTAATTCGGTTCAAAATTGATTAATTAACTGAATTAATCAAATTAATCGAAATTACTAAATATTTAATATATTATATATTATTTATATATTATTTAGTTTTAAGAGTGTTTAAACTTTATTTTTAATCGAATTAACTGGATTAATAGAAAATAGAAAATATTAAAAATATTATATATATTATTTATAAATTTTGATTAATTCAATTAATTAACGAATTAATATAACTTAGTTCGGTTGGGTTAAAATATTTTTAAAATTTGATTCAATTAGTATAGTTAATAATTATTCGGTGTGGTTGATAACTGAATTAACCGAATGTAGGACACTAATTATTTTAATATGTCCATTATCCCTAATCAATTAAATAATATATATAAATTAAAATAAATAAATAAATAAAATATAAATTTATCGAGCTTTCATGACGTGGTGTGATCTCGAACAAAATCTCAAAAAATATACTAAATCAGTAAAATTAAAATAAAAGATGTGACATGTGATTATTACCTGTACAGATAATATTTCTGTAAAATCACCTTGATAACGAGCTATACCTACTATATAAAATAAGCTCTCTCCAATGTCCATCTTAACTCGTCTGAACTAAGTTGGAGGAAACTTCTCTTCTCCCCACTCTCTCTGCAAATGAATCCCAAGACACCTCCCAAACCCATTTTTCTTTCCATTTTTTGCATTCAACTTTAAAAAAAAATGGGCAAAGCTTCCAAATGGTTCCGCAGCATCCTCGGCCTCAAAAGAAGAGACCCCCACAAGCCTTCTTCCAAACGCCGTTGGAGTTTCGTCAAATCCTCCCGCGACAAGGACTCCTTTGCCGACACTAACGCATGCGGTAACAGTAATGCGATGACGCCGTCGTCGCAACGCGGTCTTCGGCAGCATCAGCAAGACTTGATTTCTGTCGTTGACACGAATGGTGGGTGTGATGCAGTGGATCATAACATGCACGCCATTGCCGTCGCTGCCGCTACAGCGGCGGTTTCCGAGGCGGCTGTTGCGGCTGCTCAAGCTGCGGCGGCGGTAGTCAGGCTCACCAGCAGCAGTGGTAGATGCGCGCGTGATCACGTTAGCAGCAGCAGCAGCTACGGGGAACTCGAGGAGTTAACTGCGGTTAAGATACAATCTACTTTTCGTGGATATCTGGTTTGTTTTCTATTGATTTTTCTTCATTTGACTCCTTTTTTTCATGATTTTTGGTGAAAAAGTTGGGGATCAACAAACAACATCATATTGAATGCGAGAAACGTGTCGCTCCTGCTCATCTGAGTCACCGACTCATCCGATTCCGAGGCGTTAACTCGTTGCATCTTAATTTGTTTCCATTAAATAATCATCTTTATTATTTAAATTTGTTTCCAATGCAATAGAGAAAAGAAGGAAAGAACTGTTTGTTCCCGTTACCGAATTTAGCAAGATTCGCGTTATTGCGAGAACGACGTCGTTTTCTAGTTCGTCCTCTTTCTTCCAAAATGATCTAATTTTGGGTGTTTGTTACTAAATTAACGTGGATTAGTTGGTTTTTTCTTCTTTCAAGTTGGCTTTTGGGTTTGTGGATTATTGCTGTCCAATTATTGAAAGCTTAAATGGCAACAACCCTTTTGCCAAGGGTCAGTAAGAATACAATAGTAATTCATTAGCTTACCCAATGAAGAATGATCCCCAATTGTCAGCATTTTTTTATCACAAGACTTTGAATGCAATACAACTTATATGGGAAAATGGGCTAACTCTATGTATCTTAGGTTGAAATCTTCTGGGTAATGCCAAAAAGTTTCTCATCTCTCAAAAGAGTGGGTCCAAGTCCATTAAAAATTAATGTTTCCTCTGGCTAATTTATATATGTACGTACTTTTTTGTTTTGGGAGATGATATAAAAGCTTTTTATTGTATCGATGATAAATTGATCTAGCTGGATTAGTCACTCTATCCCTTAAATAAGGTCAGATTTGAGAGTTTTGTCCCCATAATTAGTCTATGTAAAACTCAATCTGAAATAGTCGATTAATAGATAGTAAACAAAAATAAATATACTTTTTATCGTGGAGATAGTATGTCAGCTAGTGTGAAGTCCTTTTCCCCTTTCTCATTTTGTCAGATTTTTATTTTAAACTCTATTGTAGTATAGTACTGTTAGTATATTGCTATTCTATCATCTTCTTGGCGCCTGTTAATCTTTAAATTTTACATGTGTCTAGTACATGTTCTCTGCATTTACATGTTGAAGTAGTTAATACAATAAATGATTCAGTGTGGTCCTTTGGTTTGCTAGTTGGCGTTTGTGGTCTCTCTTTATCCCTAAGCAGATGGTTACTTGCATAATAAGTTGCCTTTAGTTGTTGGGCTGCTTGCTCCCAAAGCCATTAATGGAGGACTTTACCCAAGTTTGTTTTGTTGACGATGAGTAATGACCCCATTGATGTTTTTTCTTCTTTTTTTTTTGTCAAATGAGCTTCTTTGCTTGTCTGATTTTACTTTTGTGGTCTAACCTTTAAAGGCGAGAAGGGCATTGCGAGCACTGAAAGGACTGGTGAGGCTTCAGGCATTGGTTAGAGGCCATATTGAAAGGAAAAGAATTGCAGAATGGCTAAGAAATATTCAAGCATTGTTGCAAGAACAAGCGCGTACTTGTGCTGGGCGGGCACAAATTTCTCAATCTTCCAGACTAAGCAGTAAATCTTCTCACTTCCAACATGCAGTAAGTCACCTATTCTAATTCTTTATTTTGCTTTTCTCCCTTTGAATTGACATGTTTGGATTTGTTACACTGACAGTGTACACATTAGATTGATATAAACTTGTATAATATGTAATTATTGGTGGCCATGAAATCTCTCTTACTTTGCAGGGTCCACTAACCTTCGAACATGCAGTTCAACTGAAGAGTTCAAAATATGAGCAATCATCAATGTTGAAGGTATCCTCTTCATACCTGTTTAAAACTCTGTTGTTGAACTTAAGATACGAAGTGTCTTACAAGTGTATTTTAAGAAAAATAAATTGTTAGGATAATAATAAAAGATTGAAGTTTATCTGAAAATACTTTTGCAGTACCATTTGACATTGGTTATACATGCTTAATTAACCCGTTTCAACAATTTCAGAGAAATGGCTCTAGGTTGAGTGGAAGGAATCTTGATAGTTATGAGCAAATTGATGAAAGAATTGGTCCAATGGATGATGAAATTGATGACGGGATTCTCGAGGTTGATACTGGAAAACCCCATTTTGCCTCCAAATGCCGAAACCTGTTTCACTCAACACATCTTGCTTTCAGTTCGGATCTATACGGTTGCAGTTTCACGAACTCCAGAGACTCGCACCAAATGGCTCCTTTAAATCCATTCAAGTACTCTCGTGAAGTCGAGGAAAGTCCTTTCTGCACTGCTGATAATAGTCCGAACTTCTGTTCTGCATCATCGAGAGGGGGTAGTTCAAATAGAAGCCCTTTCACTCCTGCCATGAGTGATGGGTCAAGAAGCAATGTAAGTGGTTACTCAGACCATCCAAATTACATGGCTTACACAGAATCTTCAAGGGCTAAGGTGAGGTCACTGAGTGCACCAAAACTAAGGCCCCAGCACGACAGATCCAGTTCGACAAAGAGGTATTCCATTCAGGGTATAGGTGAATTGAAATCAAGTACACTGAAGTCCGTCTTGTACACAAACTTCGCAAGCAAAGGTTATCCCGGTTCGGGTCGCTTGGACAGGCTTGGAATGCCTGTTGGATACTGATAATATGGTTTCCCGTATCCCTTTTGGTTTGGATTTTCATGCACAGGGTAGGTGACCTTACGAGAAGGTAAGAATGGGAGGATGAAATGGGGTTTATTCATAGTTGTCACTTGTTCCTTTTCTTTAATCCGTATTTAGGAAAAGCTATTGAAGTTATTAATTTCTGCATGTTGACAAAACTCTAGATAAGGTCGGGTACTGAAAAGTTATATTAAAATGTGAACTACGTATGGCTTCCTATTTTCATAACAATCTCCTTTCCCAACTTTGGTTTCGGACTTATATCTCTAATGATATAAGAATATTTGTGAACGAGCTGAGTCGAGTTCGATTATTGTTGAGTTTGATTCGACTTAAAAAAAGTTAAAAGTTGAGTTCAATTTAATTCGATTTGAAAGTTTGTGAGTTAAAAATTGTTAAACTTGTACTCAAAATAAAATATTGAAGGACTTGAATGTTTACAAGTTTAAAATTTTTGAGATATGAAATATAAAATTGAAAATTGAGTTTAAAATATTTTTAGATTTAATTCGATTGCATTTTATTAAATTAGAGTTTAATTTTATATTGTATTTAAAAAATATATAAATATTAATATTATTAATAATTTAATTTAAAAAATTAATATATTATTTTTTTGTACTACGTAGTTTTTTAGTCGAATTTTATATAAATCATTTTGTTTCATTAAAAATTTGAATCAAATTCAAATCTAATTTATGCAATAATATTAATTAAATTTTAATTAAATTAAACTCAAATAATTTACTATTTATCTATATTTATTTTAAAGTTTTCTGAAAGGATGGGAAAAAATATCCTATTTATGTAGTCAGCAAGTGTTTATGATCCCCCTCTTAGATTTACACGGCAAGTAAAATTTGATGTACAGCACAAAGCTGACACAAAATCTCAGTAAGGGTAGTGGAAAGTCTATAACAGTATAAATCGCAGGGTAAACTACATAGCTGATCACTCAACTATTTTTTTTAATTTTGACTATTGATATTTTAATTTCATCAATGATATCATTTAACTATTTAAATGTTTCAATTAAGTCACCTATTATTAAAATTAACAGAGAAAGTGACGGGATAGTTAAAATATTTGGTATAATTACACATTTGTTCTATATTATTTATATATTTTATTATTTTAATCTTAATTTTAATAAATTAAAGTAGATTTATTTTCCACAAATTAAAGAAACCCTTAAGCAAGGAAGTAAACAACAAACCATTTAGCAAAGACGGTGAATTATTACATTGTAAACATGTGATATATATTATATATATCTTGTATGTGAGTATATAACTAATTCATTTTTTATTAATTTTAGATAAATAAAAGGTAGTATTTGTTCGAATATAATTCTCAACGATTTAATATTGCATGCTCATACCTCTAACATTCTTAGTGCTTGAATGATGCAGGGGGATCCGAGACAGATGATGCTGAGCTGTCAGATTGCACGTTGATGGCGCTGAGATACCATGAGTTGGCAGATCAGCGCAAAGGCGGGAATTGATTGTGACATGTTCCTCATTGGGGTCGTTTTGAGTATGTTTCAGTCTTTTGGCCATAACTTTGGCTACATGTGTCAGAATCGCGCATAAGACCCCAATCCGGAAAGCTCTTTGGATTTTTGGGAGATTGCTTATTTTATTTCGAATTTCAATTTAGAGTGATTTTCGGGATTTTGCTATTTTTGGCAAAATTCGAATAAAGACGATTTTTGGCTATAACAGTCCGGCTTGTGGACTGCTTTTTAGATGGTTTTGATTTTATAATATTTTATTAAACCCTAGAGACTTTTTTTTCTCTGGTTTTTGGGCGAATTTTCTCTTGTGAATCGTCTGTCGGAGCTAGCCTACAGGATAATCACTATTCTGTCTAGCGTCAATTGGTGTCAGAGCTTCAACATCTTCTTGGGAAATTTCACCAGTTTCAATGGCTGGAGGTCGTGGTCGTGGTCGTCGTGAGCAGGTTCCGAATGAGGAAGCCCAACGCCGTGATCGCAGCGTTCAGGATGTGATGATTGCGGATTTGCAGAGGCAAGTCGCAGAATTAACCCAACGCCTGGCGGCGCAGGATTTCGAGGATCGTGAGGCCTCTGATCACGATACCAATTCCACTTTCGAAAACCCATATCACAATCGCGCAGGATTTCGGGGCGCAGGATTTCGGGAGCACCGTGGTCGGGAGGAGCGTCATGGAGACCTCGGTTTTCGGGTCGATCTCCCTGAGTTTTCTGGTACGTTACAGGCCAAGGGATTTGTGGATTGGATTAATGAAGTGGAGCGTATTTTTGAATATAAGGAAGTCCCCGATCGTGTGAAAGTGAAACTGATCGCCATCAAACTCAAGGGCAGAGCATCTGCGTGGTGGGAACAGTTACGACGTTCACGAGAAAGACAGGGCAAATCCAAGATCACTGATTGGGAGAAGATGAAAAAGAAGATGAAGGGCCACTTCCTTCCCTTCGGCTACACGCAAACCTTATTTCAGCGACTTCATGCGTTGAGGCAGGGCGCGCGATCAGTCGATGATTACACGGAGGAGTTTTACCAATTGGTCGCCCGGAACGATTTATCTGAGACGGAGGAGCAGATGGTGGCGCGATATTTGGGGGGTTTACGCCAGCCCTTGCAAGATGTCCTCAGCCTTCATTCATTGTGGAGTGTTTCGGAAGCATACCAGCGTGCACTTGCTGTTGAAAAACAGCAAAACAGGAGACCAGTGATCAGGAGCGATCACAACAGTCGACCAGTTCGCCCTCAAGAGTCCGTCCTGCTCAGCAGCCACCGCAGGGTAATTCTAACCCTACTATTAGATGTTTTCGTTGTGGTGAACAAGGGCATAGGGCGACTGATTGCAGGAAGCCTGCTAGTCAAAAGGGCAAAAATTTGTTGATTGAGGAAAACGTGGAAGACGAGACTGAGGAGATTGGCGAACCCGTGTATGACGATGATGAGACTGATGATGTGCTGTATGGAGATGGTCATGAGACTCTGGTCGTTCGCAAGAGTCTACTTACCCCCAAGGGCGATTCAGGGGACGATTGGTTGAGAACCAATATTTTCCACACGACTTGCACAGTTGCAGATAAAGTCTGCAAAATGATCATTGACAGCGGCAGTTGTGAGAATGTAGTGTCCGAGGAGGTTGTCCAGAAATTGCAGTTGAAGACGGACCGTCATCCTAAGCCATACAAGTTGTCATGGCTAAATAAAGACAGTGAGGTAACAGTTGATAGGCGATGCCTCGTGTCTTTTTCAATTGGTAGAAAATATTTTGATAATGCTGGTGTGATGTTGTGTCTATGGATGCGTGTCATATATTGTTGGGTCGACCTTGGCAGTATGATCGCAGTGTCATTCATGATGGACGGAAGAATACATATTCCCTTAGCATCAAGGGAAAAAAGATTGTGTTGGCACCCCGGCGGGAAGGACTTACTCCTACCCCAGTAACCCATAATACTAATCTGCTTTCTATGTCCAGGTTTTTAGATGAGATTGAGCATGGCGACGTGGTCTATGCCTTGCTACCTTGCGAGAACAATGCAGTAGACGTGGATACAGATTTACCAGTAGAGGTGCAGCGGTTGCTAGCAGAATTCTCTAACTTGATGCCAGAGGATCTTCCTCATGGACTACCACCTATGAGGGATATTCAGCATCAAATTGACCTTGTTCCTGGGTCAAGTTTGCCAAATCGACCAGCATATCGCCTCAGTCCCAAGGAGGCGAAGAGTTGCAGCGACAGGTGGAAGAGTGTTGGAGAGGGGCTATATCCGAGAGAGTATGAGCCCATGTGCAGTCCCTGCTATGTTAGTGCCAAAGAAAGATGGTTCTTGGCGTATGTGTGTTGACAGCCGAGCGATCAACAGAATTACAGTGAAGTACCGGTTTCCAATTCCCGTCTAGATGATATGTTGGATCAGCTATCTGGTTCTAAGATCTTCTCAAAAATTGACCTTAAGAGCGGTTACCACCAAATCAGAATAAGGCCTGGAGATGAGTGGAAGACGGCGTTTAAAACGCCACAAGGGTTGTATGAGTGGATGGTCATGCCTTTTGGGTTATCCAATGCGCCCAGTATATTCATGAGATTTATGCATCAGGTCTTGCGGCCTTTTATGGGGAAATTTGTTGTAGTTACTTCGATGATATCCTCGTTTATAGTCCGACATGGACTTCACACTTCGATCACCTCCGTGCTGTTTTTGAGATGCTGAAAACGGAGTGCTTGTTTGTCAATCAAAAGAAGTGTTCTTTCTTCACTACTTCTGTGACTTTTCTTGGTTTTGTTGTGTCTACTGATGGTGTTCATGCAGATCAGTCAAAGATAGATGCAGTCTTGGAGTGGCCCAGACCAAGAACCTTACATGACATCCGAAGTTTCCATGGCTTGGCGTCTTTTTACCGTCGATTCATTAGAAATTTCAGTACTCTGATCACCCCTATCACAGAGTGCCTCAAGGGGCGTGATTTCCAGTGGTCTGAGGAGGCAGAGGCCAGTTTTCAACTGGTCAAGCAGAAGATGACGAGGCTCCAGTTTTGGCACTTCCAGATTTTGACAAAGTGTTCGAGGTAAATGTGATGCATCTGGCGTTGGCATTGGTGATGTTCTGAGTCAGGCAGGTCGTCCGGTTGCTTTTTTCAGTGAGAAGCTATCGGGATCAAAGAAAAATTATTCCACTTATGATCTGGAGTTCTATGCCATAGTTCAGTCCCTGAAGCATTGGCGTCACTACCTAGTACAGAAGGAGTTTATTCTGTTTACCGATCATGAGGCCTTGAAGTACATCAATGGCCAACACAAGCTGAGTAGACGTCATGCCAAGTGGGTAGCATACTTGCAAGAATTCACTTTTACGCTGAGGCACCAAGCAGGGAGTTTGAACCGCGTCGCAGATGCCCTGAGCCGTCGTACCTTACTTCTCACCACCATGAGTACTAAAGTTGCAGGATTTGAGACGTTCACAGATATGTATGCAGCTGATCCTTCCTTTGGAAGGATATTTCAGGAGGTAACTGAGGGTCACCGTCATGGTTTTGTTTGCATAATGGGTATCTGTTTCGTGGATTACAATTGTGCATTCCAGATTGTTCATTGAGGCAGCAAATTATAAGTGAACTCCATAATGAGGGACACTTTGGCCGAGATAAGACATTGGCCCTTATC